ACACCGAAGAAGCCAACTCGGAAAACATGAAGGCGAATCTGGACCTACTGGAAGAATACCGACTCCGGTCCGAACTCAAGAATGCTGCATACAAGCAAAGACATGAAAAATACATCAACTCTAAACTCAAGCCCCGCACATTCCGAGTTGGAGATTTGGTCCTCAAGCGTATCATGGGACCTGACCCCGGACCACTCAAACCGCGGTGGGAAGGACCCTTTCAGATCATCAAAATCCTACCCCATGGGGCCTACCGAATTGCTCATCCCGATGGCACACCACATCAATATCCGTGGAACGCGGTGTTCTTGAAAAAATTCTATCAATGAAGGATCCGAAGTCGCATAATCGACCTCCCTTTTGTACGGACCTTCTCTTTTGTCTCGGTGAATGCCTGAAATCACCTCTTTTGATGTACTGAATAGCCTATCAGTTAACATATTTTGAAAAGTCGAGCACCAAACTCGATGCCGCTGTAAACCTTTCGAAATGCGGTTAATTATATCATGCCGATGTAAGCATTGCGACACTCGGTCTAGCTGATACCCCGTAATACATCCAAACCCCACGTATGGTTTGGTTGGGGTTAAAGCCCGTCAAACGTCACTTCAGCCAACATGATTTGACGGGTCCCAATAATTACCGAACACTCATTCAAATAATTCGGTTGGGACCATTCCATAATTGGACCCTGACGAAGTCCGATGACTTCCATTTTATTTCCCGTACAGCCCTAAAAATGCGTTGAGTTCTGCGAAGTTATCTGAAAACTCGCATAATCGACTCACGCTTGTGGCTGAAAATTCTAATAAATGATCAAAGTGGAATTCGGAAGTTATATTTATAAAAACTTACAACTCGGATCACGATTTAAGTAATTCCGAGTTGAAGCAGTTGGCTTTCTAAAAACCGAATTCAAAACACTTGGTCGAAAAATTGCTGAAATTTGTACAGCGAAACATACAAACAAAATCAAACGTATTCAAATACTTCATATATAATATTATTACGAAATCCGGGGAATCCCTTACATAAATATTTCATATTTCCTACTAAGGGAGTCGGCTATCCAACATCCCCGATTACATACCATCACTTTTAAATATGTCCTACTAAGGATGCCGACATGACCGACATCCCGATTACATAAACCAAAATACCTCGAAAACATTCAAAAACAAAAAACAAACAAACAAGCCACATATCCTAAGCATCATCAGCCGGTTTCTCCACATTGCCTCCGGAGCCGCTGCCCTCTC